ACGGACCATAATGATCAAGGTGTAGACATACAAACGGTTTTTTACCCTTTGGAATGTTATGTAATTCGCCTTCTTGTTTACCACTTTGGGGTGAATATTCAATACATTTTATGCAATTACTAATATGATTTTTAATTGTTTGTCTAATCTTCGGAAACCAATACGTTCTGGTTATTAATTCTTCCGTCTTGTCAATTCCGCCGTGTCCCATCTCGTTATGGTATGTTTGTAAAATTGCTGTTATCATGCTGTGTGGTACAAAGAATAATAGATCTTTATTGTGTTTCCTGTACACTAAGCCATTTCTTAATTCGTAGAATTTGTCTTCAGAGTTCTCCAACTTCTTCTTAATTTGGTCAATTGACAAATCCATGGTTTGTTTTACTGCTAACGTCTGCTCAAGAGTGTTCCCTTCTAATACCAAAATATTTTGAGTACGGCTTAAGGCGTCTACATGTTTCATTCTGACATTTGAACGGTGTTCAATCTCGTAATCGTAATTTCGAGAAACATAGGCCCATCGCATAATGCGAGGGTTTATTTCTTTTTTACTCAGTGTAGACGAAAACTGTCACATCTGTTACGATTCTAAAGCGAATACCATAAACATAAACATGAAAACGTTTTATCACATATATAATAGCTAAACATTCAAGTTCGTAACTGTGATATCTGGTTTCCTGATCGGTCGTCCTTTTGCTAAAATACATGACAGGATGAAACACTCCATTGTCTTGCTTTTGCAACAAAATTGCACCATACCCTAACTGACATGCGTCACAATGCAGTTCCGTTTCTGCAGTCGGTGAATATAAACAAAGAACTGGATTTGACCCTAAAGCATTTTTTAATTGATCAAAACTTTCAAGCTCTCGACTTCCAAATTTAAATTCTACATCCTTACGCATCAACGTGTACAGAGGACTGGCTATCATACCAAAATCTTTAACGAATTTTCGAAAATAGGAAACTAGTCCCAAAAAACTCTGCAAATCTTTATGGCATTTAGGAATTGGAAAATGTGTAACTGCTCGGATGTTTTCAAGATTTGGACTTATCCCTTCACTGGTTACTCTATATCCTAAATAACTGATTTCTTTCTTAAGAAACGAACATTTTTCAGTTCTTAACTCTAATAAATTGTCTACTAACAATTTGAACACTTTTTTAAGAATGCAAATATTCTCTTCAATCGTTTCAGTAGCTACCAACAAATCATCTATATATATTATTAATTCTCCACTGTCTACTAATGCTTTAAAAATATATGCAAGATAACGAGAAAATTCAATTGGTGAGTTACAAAACCCAAATGGCATGTTATTGAACTCATATTGTCCTGAATGAGTAACAAAAGACAAATATTTCCTGCATTGTTTGTTAACCAAAACATGATAAAAAGCATCCTTAAGATCTAATCTAGAAAAGAATTTCTTCCCCTTCAAGCTTTCCATTTGATCTTCTATAATTGGTATGGGAAAGTTAGCACGCAACACAATCTTATTTAGCTCTCGAAAGTCCACACACATTCTAGTATTACCATTCTTTTTCTTCACAAGCACAATTGGAGAACAATACTCGGATGTGCTAGGTGAAATTATTCCTCGTTTCAACAAATCATTTATAATTTTATCAACTTCCCCTTTTTCATAAAAGGATAATCGTCTCGGTCTAAAGTGAAATAATGAATTATTTGGCTTAACGACTATGTTCATTTCATAATCTAAAGCTGGTTTAGCTTTCCTAACAGGACTAACATAATGATCATTATATACAATTTCTAACTGCAGTTTCTCCGCATTTGTTAAACTAGACTCGATATCTAATGGTGGTATAACATTATCAGTAATATCATTAATTAATAACAATTCATTTTCAAGTTCATGATTTTTCAAGTTTGTGGGCTCAAAATGAATTTTGTCGTTGAAAGTAATTTTAAAATCGGGACAAGACACAAAATCTCTGCCCAAAACACAATCATACTGCATAGTACCTTCAGGCACAACATGGAAATTTATGGTAACATTAAAATCTTCAACCTTAACTACATTGTGAAACAATCCTAAAATAACTAAAGGCGAGCCATTAATACCTGCGTAGTTTTGATTTTTCGTCTCGTACTGCGTGATCGCTGCCATAGAAATCTTGCTAACATTGATTAGTGAAATCGGACTACCAGTATCTACTACTGCTTTTAACGGATCTGTAGCCTTCTCCAGATGTACATTCACCACGTATGCCGGAATAATCTTCGGTTTTTCTATCACTTCTTCGATCGGTGACATCTCAGAAACCAGAAGCGCATTGTTTGTAGAGTCCGGTTGTGGAGCAGGATTTGGACGTCGTAGCTTCGGACACTCTCGTCGCTGATGTCGGCTGGTAGCATGACCCCTTTTCCCTTCTCGGCTTCGAACATTCACTTGATCGGTGATTTAAGCCATTACAGTTAAAGCATCTCAACGCTGTCCTCGAATTTGATTGGGAACTTCTCGTTACGGAGCCACTACTTTCTACAACTGGTTTTTCACTGCTCACCCTAGCTGAACCTCTGTCCGCACCAGTGATGTTATTCATTGTTTGCTGCAACTCTGCAAGTGTACTGAACCCCTTCATCCTTGCCTGACTTTGCAACACACTGTTGTCGAAACCATCAATAACATACTCGATCACATCTGCTCGGTCCAGGTTTACTTTATTTGCAAGCACCACCTTGTCATTGAAATAAGTGGAGAACTTCTCATCTTTTCTCCAACGACGTGCCTCCATGGACTTCATCAATGCAATACGACTTGGTCTGCTAGCGAACATTGAACGTAATTCCACTTTAAAACTACTTAAGGACATCGTAACATAATCAACCTTGGAATAATACCATTCCAATGCTGCTCCAAGCAATTTTGTCACCATAATTACTTGCATAATCTCATCCGCTACCGCGTATACTCTCTGCACCGCTTCGACTCTGGTTAACCAATTAGCCACATCTTCACCGTCCTTGCCAGAAAAGGTTGGTAACAAAGCCGCTATCTCCTTATTGGAATACTTAAGTTGCTGTCGTGTTGGGGATAATTGCATTGTTCGGACAGTAGCCGTAATCACCTCTTCCATCGTCATCGTTGACATTTGATTACTCAGTTCACCTTCGCCAGTAATCCCCTGCGTTGGACTGCCGGTCTCACTATCAGTATTGGCCATAATGTATGGGATGTAATAACATAAAGCTGGATGCACGTGAATAACGTAACCTTAATTCCACGCTGCTTCCACGTTCTAACATAAAACGTATATCTAAAACATAAGTTAATATCCCAAGCAATAACTGGACGAGGATAACACGAATTCCACTTCTGAAATTGTAGGATGCCGTCGATTTTAAATAAATTCACTACTTATTTTCACAACGTCTATTTTTCCGTCCTTTTCATACATTGCTAACTTCACAATCAATCTGTACAGGGTGTTCTACAATCACCTACA